ACAGGGGGGTGGGAGGCCCAACCATACGCTTCGCCGAAGGCGAAGCCCATATCCAATTCTGTTGTACCGTAGTAGCGATAGACCCAAAAATAGGATACCGTCGCGGGAGCGGGTCATATCAAGCGAACGCGCTTTCGGTCCCAATGGCAAATCGCGTGCCTCGCGATGAGGCGCAGTCATAAATTGGCGGCCGGCCGCTTGAGCACAAACAGCCGCGGACAAACGCTCGCTATATCTCGCCTTTGCCCCAACCTCCTTTAGAATCCCTAACGCCCCAATGCGGGAGAAACACACAACAAAATGGTTCTTAACGCCCCAGGAGGCCCCAGGAGGCCCCAGCACAGCCCTCGGCACGGATCATCAAAATCGGCACACTCAGCATTGCAAACTGGCGCGTTCCCTGGCACGTTCCGTGGCACGTCCCGTGGCGAGTCCCCCTGGCACGTCGCGCGGCGCGTCACCTGGCACGTCCCGTGGCACGTCCACAGGTACGTTCCGTAGCGCGTCCCCTTGGCACGTCCCGCGGTACGTCCCCATGGCACGTCCTCAAGCACGTCGCCTGGCACGTCTGTTGGGACGTGCCGCGGCGCGTCCTCCTAGCATGCCCCCCTGTCAAGCAGCTCGGGGGCAGCTACTATGTGCTCAGGCAGCTCGAGCTTAAGATCCATACCAGTTCGGTCAGGCCTCGGATGCAAAGGAGGACTCGATCCACAACGCTATAGAGCACAATCGCGGCATGGGACATCGCAATTCGGCACGGCGCAGCACAGCGCAGCACTCGGCACAATACATCCAGACCGATCTACTCAGCATAGCATATGCCCGTCGCCCAATCAAGTGTTTTTGACACGTTGCTATTCCTTACATTTCTATATCAATTTCCGGGTTCGTGGGTCGATCATGTTAGTTACACTCGGGGTGGGGGTTGTGGAATATTGGGGGCCGCGTTGGAGACGAAAGCTACGGAGGCTGTTGAAGATGGTACTTTCTGCTACACCTGGGGCGGAGGCTGTGGAGTATTTCGTGTTGTGTTGAAGACGGAGGCTGTGGAGTATCTGGTCCAGTGTTGAAGACGAAGGCTGCGGAGTACTGGGTGCTAAGTTGGAGTCAAAGGCTGTTAAGAAGGATGGTACTTTGTGGTCACAATTGGGGGGCTTTGGAGTATTGGGGGCTGTGTTGGAGACAAAGGCTGTGGAAAATTGAGTGCTGTGGTGGAGACGGAGGCTGTGGAGTAGAGGGGCGTGTTCAAATAACCCCAGCGGACTACTGAAGGGCGTGTTGGACACGACGCCTGGAAATGTGCGGGAACGGGCCTCTGCCGGAGCGGGCCTCCGTCGGAACGGGCCTCTGCCAAAGCGGGCCTCTGCCGGCACGAGCCTCTGCCGAAGAGCGCCCTCGCCGGAACGGGCCTCTGCCTGAGCGGGCGTGTGCGAGCGAATTTGAATTCGCTCGGGTTTATGTTCGCTCAGGTAAAAAATTCGTTCGGGTTTTAATTCGTTCGGGTTTAGATTCAGTCGGGTTTGAATTCGCTCGGGATTAAATGCGCTCGGGCTTAAATTCGCTCGAATTTGAATTTGCTCGGGTTTAAATTCGCTCTGGATTATATTCGCTCGCTTGAAACGCGCTCGAAAGGACATCCGCGCGGGAGGCAAAGCCGCTCGAGCACACCCACGCAACCTGAATGAAAACCAGGTGAGACGAAACCGAGCGGAAAGAAACCGAGCGAACACAAAAAACGAGCGCAAAAAAAACGAGCAAAACGTAAGCGAGCGAACAAACATCCGAGCAAAACGAAAGCGAGCGAAACGAAAACGAACGACGAAACAATCGAGCGAACAAACATCGAGCGAAAAAACATCGAGCGAGAAAAAGCTAGCAAAAAGAAAACGAGCGACAAAAACTCGAGCGAAACAAAACGCCACCAGCAGTGCGGGTGTGCGTTCCGGGCCGGGGTGTCCAGAGGAAACAGAAACCATAACAAATGCAAGGAGAAGCGCTCCGATGGATGTGGAGAAAAGCGTGTGCGTGGTGATGGTGTAGGGAACCACGGAGAAATAAGAAATAATGAGGGAAGCAGTTCCGTCGAGGGAGGGTGTGTTGAGAGACAACGGAGAAACTGACACTAGAAGTGACTCAACTACTCGCGAGTTTGAGTCCACTGAGGTTTAAAGTCGCTCGGGTTCAAAGTCGCTGGGGTTGAAATTCACTCAATCTGAAAGTCGCTGGGGTTCAAATTCGCTAGGGTTCAGATTCGTTCGGGTATAAACTCGCGCAGGCTTAAATTCGCTCGGGTTAGAATTCTCACGGGTTTAAATTCGCTCGGGCTTAGATTCGCTCGGGTTTGAATTCGCTCGAGTTTTAATTCGCTCGGGTTTAAATGCGCTCGGGTTTTAATTGGTTGGGGTTGAAGTTCGTTCAAATTTAGATTCGCTCGGGCTTCCCATTCGCTCGAATTTAAAGTCGCTCGGATGTAAATTCGCTCGGATTGAAATTCGCTCGGTTGCACCGCGCTCGAACAAACATCCGTGCGGAGGGGATCAGGATCCGCTCAAGGACAGCTGCGCAACCGCAGTGAAAACCAGGCGAGACAAAACCGAGCGAATACGAAACCGAGCGAACAAAACAACGAGCGAACAACAGCGAGCGAAACGAAACCGAGCGAACAAAACATCGAGCGAAACGAAATTCGGTTGAAACAGAATCGAGCGAAACAAATGCGAACGTAACGAAAGCGAACGAAACAAAACACCACCACCCCCAGGGCGGTTCTAAGGCCCAGAAAAGCCCCAAGACGTGGCAAGAGTGCCCCAAGAGGCCCCCAACACGGTCCTTGAGGGCGCCGAATCGCCGAATTATCTGCCCAAGACGCCAAAGTAGCCTCCAGACGGTTCAAGAGGTTTTCAAAACGCCCCAAGAGGCCTCCAAGAGCACTCCCAAGAAGGCCCCCCGGAGAAAAAAACACAGATGCTCTTTCAGTTTTTCCTGGAAAGGGCTCAGGCCCAGGTTTCTCTTTTTGTTGGTACACCTGTCCCCGGTGCCAACTTCGAAGAGGGTCGGCGATTTTTGTTTGCGATTGATGACGAGGTCGAAGTGGGCCAGTGAATTTAAAAAAAGAGGATGTCCCGAGAGAAACGCTTGTTTCGCAGAAATTGTTGAGGATGTCTCGAGCGAAACGATTGTATTGTGTTACAAATTGTCCTCTCCTGGAGACCAGAATTCAGAGGACCTCTCAAGTGAAATGCTTCTTTTCACGTGCCCTGGTCTGGATATCTCGAGCGAGACGCTTGGCTTCACGCGCCCAGGTTGCCCAGGCAGAGGTCTAGCGCCAGGATTTGTTGAGGATGTCTCGAGCGAGACGCTCGTTTTCACGCGTCCAGGTCGCCAAGGCGGATGTCTAGCATGAGGATGTGTTGAGGAAGTCTCGATCGAGACGCTTGTTTGCACGTGTCCAGATTGCCCAGGCGGATGTCTAGCATGAGGATCTGTTGAAAGTGTCTTGAGCGAAACGCTTGTTTTCACGTCTCCAGGTCGCCCAGGCACAGCACAGCCCTCGGCACGGTACATCAAGATCGATACACTCAGCATTGCAACCTGGCACGTTCCCTGGCACGTTCCGTGGCGCGTCCCGTGGCGAGTCCCCCTGGCACATCGCGCGGCGCGTCACCTGGCACGTCCCGTGGCACGTCCACAGGTACGTTCCGTAGCGCGTCCCCTTGGAACGTCCCGCGGTACGTCCCCATGGCACGTCCTCAAGCACGTCGCCTGGCACGTCTGTTGGGACGTTCCGCGGCGCGTCCTCCTAGCATGCCCCCCTGTCAATCAGCTCGGGGGCAGCTACTATGTGCGCAGGCAGCTCGAGCTTAAGATCCATACCAGTTCGGTCAGGCCTCGGATGCAAAGGAGGACTCGATCCACAACGCTGCAGAGCACAATCGCGGCATGGCACATCGCAATTCAGCACGGCGCAGCACAGCGCAGCACTCGGCACGGTACATCAAGATCGATACACTCAACATTGCATTTGCCCGTCGCCCAATCAGGTGTCTTTGGAACGCTGCCATGCCTTACATGTTTAGATTCATTTCCGGGTTCGTGGGTCGACCATCTTGAATGATTTTGGCGTTCTCGCCGTGTCGATTTCCCGACGCTCCAAGACAGCCCAAGAGGCCCCCAAGATCGCCCAAGGTCTACAGGAGGGCCCCAAAACGACCCAAGAGGGCCCCAAGACCGTCCAAGAGGCCTTCAAGACAGCCCAAGAGGCCCTCAAGGCGGCTCCTCTGGCACCGCCCCTGGCGCCTGCGCGCCAAGGAGATGAGCCCAGCGCCGAGGATGGAGATGGGGGGAGGGTGGACCTGGGGGAGGTGTCCCGCGAGCTCCTTAAAGCCTTCCCAGGCCCCTCGGAGGTTCTCCAGCTAGCTGGCTGCTTGGCCCCTGGAGATCCTCAAGATGGTTCCCCATGGTCCCCAGACCTCCCAAGAAGGCTCAAGACAGACCACGACCCGTCGAGACAGATCCGAAGAGGCTCCAACACTGCTGTAGTGGGCCATCTGGATGCAGACAACACCACAATCCGTATGCATTGTTGCGTGCTCTTGCGCCCCTACTCTTGGGCTCAGCGTCAAGATAGAGGGAGGATGATGTCGGGATGAGAAGGAATGTGACCACACGACGAGAGCGCGCATGTATCCCACGCGAACGCGTAGGAGAACATCCGGCGGCCTGGCCGCCCGCGCTCATCAAGCCGCGCCCCTGCCGACCACAATGACGCCGTCTGGCAACGGCTTCTTTGGAGGGACAGAAAACGGTAACCATGACCAAGACTGGACGCGGAACCGTGGGTGTCGATCTTGGTAATCGTCCATCTTGGCCGCCGTCAATTCGTGCAACATCCTCGCGATATCTGCGACTTCCAGCACTGACCCTGACCAAGACCGGCGTGGACAAGCTCCCGCGACATCTTGGTCATTCATGGTCACTGTGTTTCTTCCCCCCATTATTGCCCTTCGGAGCCCCGCCCGCAGAGTCGGCGCCGGCGGCCCGGCCTGGCACGCCGCCTCGGGCTTCTGGTGCTGGCCTCAAACCTGCCGCTCTGAACAGGCTCGCGGCCGCTTTGCCGCTCGCCTGCCCCTCTTCTGGCCCCTCGGCCGCCGAGCGCTGGAGCATGTGCGCGGCCGCGTGGTCCCATCGCTCCTGCAGGAGGACGCCAGCTGTACGCCTGCACCGATCTTGGCCAGGCTCATCCAGGGCCCAGGGTCGGTGCCTACGCCCTCCTGGCTTGGGCGGGGAGGCGTGCAATGATGGAGGGAGAGGGGGGAGCGGACAGCACCATGACGAAGCACCTCCGTGACGCGAACCTGGAGCACCGCCAATGCAACCGGGCAGGAAGGCACGTTGTCACACCGACCTGGGGCCCAGGATCGGCCTGGTCAGGCTCGGCGTGGGTGCACGGCTGGTGCCCTCCGAGCCGCTCCTGCTCCCGAGCCTCCCGCTCCCGCAGGACCGCGCCCTTGGGCTCAGCATCGGAGGCCGCGGGCCGGTCGTTCGGGTCCTGAAGGGAGGTGGGGCTGTCTCGGGCGTGGGCCTAACCGACCCCTAGCAGGCCATCCCCTTCCGTGACGTCATCCTCGCCTTTCGAGCTCCCCTCTGGCCGCACACGCACGCCTTGGGGCGAGGCGGGGGGGGACGCCACGGAAGGAGATGGCCTGCTATAGGGGTCGACTAGGCTGCTCCTGACTGAAAGGGGGGACAGGCTCAGGGGGGAAACACCGAGCTGGAATCGGCGGTGCATCGCTGATGGATCGGTGCTGTGGGCCCTCGATGGCGAAGCCGCACGTTCCTGGGCAGAGTTGGCTCACAGGCCCCTGCCAGCGACGAATGGGCGGCGCTTGGGAGTCGACGCGCCACCCCCCAGAGCCTGTCTCCTCCCTGTAGCGCTGCCCCCGAGGTCCGGGGGGGCCCACCCACTGCTGGTGCTGACGTCCCCGGTGCGGTCGGTGACCATGTCGTAGGGCTTCTTTCCCTCGCATCTCTTCCCGCTCAGGCCCTCGAAGAGCCGCTTGGCGAAGTCTGGGAAGTCGCTCGTGGACCCGCCCTTGTAGAGGACGCCCCGCTGCTCCTCCAGGCACTGCTGCAGGTCCTCAACAGACCGCCTGCACGCGCAAGACTCAACCACCTTGAGCGGGGGTCCCTTGGAATACGAGCTTAAGCCAACCTTGCGGTAGGAGCTCTCTACGTGCTCCCACCGAAAACCCTGATCAATGAGGCTTAGACGCAACATGCCGTCTGCGGTGGTCTTCAGCACCACGCACGTGCTGCCGATGATCGTATCTGTCACCTCCCATCTGCGATCGTCCTCGAAGTACTCTTTGGTGGAGTTCTTCTCCTCTGCCAGCAGCATGACGCTCGTGAAAGAGACACCCAATTTCGCCCACCCGCGGAGCAAATGTTGCAACTCCGAGTCGGAACATATCCGCTTGCCCCGCACCTGCGGCACCGAGGCAGCGGCGCCGCACATGCCTCGGGCGGGCCTGGCCGCAACAGCGGCGAAGACTCGGTCCTGGCTCCCGCGGCGAGACTGCACACGTGCGCCAATCCTGGCCAGGGTCCCATGATCTTAAGCAGGAACTGGCCGTCCCGGCATTCCCATAGGCCTACCACGAAGTGTTCTTAGAGCCCAGAACTGTTCCAAGGACAATCACAATGTTCTTAGAACATAAACCCGATGTATTAAGACACCAGAGTCTAGCCAGAAATGTTTAAGAATTGTTCGAACACAACAATTATAGGTTCTTAGAAGATTCGTTGGTGGAACTGTAGGCAAACCAGGACGCTTCGCCAATGCTGGAGGAGCGATGCATGAATGGCCTCCGGCCCTGTCCACAACATGCGCTGATACATGGGCCAAGGTGGGCCTGGCCGGGTTCGGTGCAAGTGCTAACCCATATACCTCCGACGCCGTGACTTTTTCCTGGAATGGGCGTGGGCCCAAGGTTCTCTCTTAGATAGTTGTCCCTCCCGGGGACGACTGGAAGAAGGCCGGCGAATTTCATCTGCGATACATAGCAAGGTCGAAGAGGGCCAGCGAATTAACATGTTAGGATGTCCCGAGCGAAACGCTGGTTTTTGAAATTCCGATCGATAAAACACATAGTCAAATAAGCATTTCGTTTGTTGCGGATGTCTCGAGAGAAACTCTTGTGTTGCATATTGTGTTGAGGATGGTTTGAGCGAAACGCTTGTTCTGGAGACTTCCAAAAACCTGGACGCCCAAGGATGCCCCAGGGAGCCCTGGGAGTGCGGACGCAAATGATTTACAAGGGAGCACAGTCCTGGGAGCGTGGACGAAGCGTGGTGTACCAGGGATCGTGGATCAGGGAGAGCGGACGCAGCGCAATTTACGTGTGATCGTGAATGTGGGAGCGCGGATGCAGCGTAATGTGCAAAGTGTCGTGGCCATGGGAGCGCGGACGTAATGTAATTTACGAGGGATCGTGGCCCTGGGAACGCGGACGCATTGAAACCTGATCGAACAAGAACGGGAAGCGCCGCTGTAGTCTAATGGGCGTATTGGGCGAAGAAGAAAAGTAAGGCGAGGACAGCGAGGAGCCGATGATGAGGACGACGTGGCGAACGTGAGGATAGCGAGGAGGAGCATGAGGACAACGAGGAGGAAGAGAAGCACAAGGACGAGGAGAAGGGGGGCGAGTACGAGGAGGAATGCGGAGGGCGATGATGACGACGACGACGACGACGACAGAGGACAGTACGAGGCAATTGGGAAAAGACGTTGCTCCTGGCGCCGCGCGGGGTTCTCTTAGGGCCTGTTGGGGGCTTCTTGCGGGCCCCTTGGGTCCTCTTATTGGCTTCTGGGGTCTTCTTGGGCTGTCTGGGCGCGTCGTGGGGTTCTGTGGGAGCTTTCTTAGGCCGTCTCGGCGCTGGGGGCCTCCTGGGGCGCTCCCGTGAGTCTCTTGGGGCCTTCTTGGCCCTTCTCGGGCCGTCTTGGGGTTCTTGTGAGCTGTCTGGGTGGCTCCTAGAGCGCTCTTGGGGGTCTCTTGGGGTCTTCTTGGGGCGCTCTTGGGCGCTCCTGGGGCTCTCCGGGGCGTCTTTGGGGCGTAGTACCACAGCAGGCCAACACACGCGCTATCGGGTCATTGTGCCGGTCCCCTGCTCAACTTCGAGGTAGAACTCTGCCGTGCTGGTCTGCCTCGCTGGTCTGTCGAGGTAGTCTGCCGTCCTGTGCATATGACGGACCTCGTGAGCTGTGAATGGTTCTTTGGGGCCCGCGTGGGGGCCTGATTGGGGCTCGTGGGGAGCATTTTGAGAGCCTCTTGGAGGCTTCTGTGACCCTCTTGGACTGTCCAAGAGTGTCTGGAGGGTGTGTGTGGGGGCTCTCGTGGGCTGTCTTGGCGTTCTCTTGGACTGTTTTGGGGCTCTCTTGGCTAGTCCCGGGGCCTCTTTGCGCGCTCTGGGCGCCTCTGGGCGCCTCTTGGGGGCCTCTTGGGGGTCTCTTGGGCCGTTTCGGGGGTCCCCTGGGGAGCCTTTTGGCGCTCTTTGGGGCCGTTTTGAAGCTCTCCGGGAGCGACTCCAAGACAATGTCAGTTCGGAGTCCCCTCCGGAGCCGATTCTTCGAGGATGTCTCGAGCGAAACGGCCATTTGTCCGGAACCTGATCGGACAAGGACGGGAAGCGTCGCTGTAGTCTAATGGGCGCATTGGGCGAAGAGGAAAAGTAAGGCGATGACAGCGAGGAGTCGATGATGAGGACGACGTGGCGAACGTGAGGATAGCGAGGAGGAGCATGAGGACAACGAGGAGGAAGAGAAGCACAAGGACGAGGACGAAAAGAACGAGGGCGAGTACGAGGAGGAATGCGGAGGGCGATGATGACGACCACGACGACGACGACGACGACGACGACGACGACGACGACGACGACGACGACGACGACGACGACGACGACGACAGAGGACAGTACGAGGCAATTGGAAAAAGACGTTGCTCCTGGCGCCGCGCGCCTCCAAAAACGATTCGAACACGACGTAGATGCGGAGTCCCCTCTTGGGCCGATTTTTCGGGAGGCAGGCGCGGCGGTGAAACGCGCTGGGCGCCCCGGCGGTCTCGCAGCAAGAGAAGGGGGGGGGCGCCGAGGAGGCCCCGGGCGCCGCCCAAGGCGGGGGCGGGGGGGGCGGCCGGGCGCCGCGGGGCGGAGGGCCACGAGCAACCCAAAGACAAGGGCGTCCTGGGAGGCCGGGCGCGGGCCGACAGCCCCAGCTGGGCGCGCGCCGGGCGGCGTTGGGCACGAAGCCGGGGCGGCCGCCGAGGGGGCCGCAAGTGGGGCGGGCGCGGAGCCAGACAGGCGGAGAGGACAGGGCCCGAGCCTGGGATTCACGGGCGCGGGGGGCGGCAGGGAGCTGGCGCTCGCAGGGGGGTCCGCGCGGGACAGAAATGGCGAGGCGACTAACGGTGGCAAGTTGGGTGAGGTAGCGAGGAATCGCGAGATGATGAAGGCGACTGACGGTCGCGCGCCTGGCAAAAGGGGGGCGTGGCAGGTGTTGAGGGGAAGCGGTGGAGAGGCATCGAGACGTGCGGTGGGGTCTACTGCTGCCGTGCCCCGGGCCGGCGGGCGCTCGCGGGACGGCTGGCGTCTGGCTGCCAAGAAGCGCTGGCCGCGCGGTGGTCCTTGCCCTTGACCTTGTGCGGGGCACCTCTTCCTCTCCCCCGATTGGTGAACTCGTCGCAGACAACTGTCCAATTGACCCGCAGCTGAAGGGCCCTGTCCACTGTCAATGGGCTGTAGCCGCGCTGGCACCAAGTCCGGAGGAACTCCTCACAGGACCCAGGGTCCTGCATGGAGGGATCTGCGCAGGCGAAGCCCACCTGGGGGGGTGTGCACGTAGGTCCACTGGTGCCACAGGCCACTGAGGTAATCCCCGAGCTCTCTCTGCAGGCGCTTCACTGCGGACGCGTGGTTCTCGCCACCGCTTGGGGGGAGTTGCATCTCGTCCAGCGGGGCCTTGTACATGCACCGACTGGTGTCGGGATCGGTCAGATCATTCGAAGGGGTGGCGCTGGGCCACGGGGAAATCCGATCACATGTATGCGGCCGCTGGATACGGACGGGGCCCCGAGATTCACCGCGGTGAGTGGTGTCCCAGTTGGTCCAGT